CGGACAAGCAGTTTGATCACCACGTTCGACTCCTTGAGGCTACGAACGCAGTCCAGACGCGTCATGGCCGTCACGGGCACCGAGTCGATCTGCAGGACCTCGTCGCCCTCTTGCAGCGATCCCCAGGAGCAGTGCGCGCGCGACGCGGGGCTGTCCGGGGCACACGACTGGATGAAGAGGCGCCGCACCTTCTCGCTCGTGCTCGTTCCGCCCTCAAATTTGAGCCCAAAGCCGAGGCGCTCGCCCGGCAGCCGGTACACCAGGACATCCTCCGCCCCGTCAGGCGCCTCGCACCCCACGCTCAGCACCGTCACGTACTCCTCCGCGGGGGACGAGCCCTGCACCGCCACGACGGTCACGTAGTCGCGCGTCACCTCCATCACGTGGCCCGACACATCTGCAACACCAGGAGACAGCCTCTTACAGTGGAGGGACAACGTGAACGGCTCGCCTCCGGGTACCCAAGAATACTTTCCCACATGCAACTGGCAGCGTTCCAATTCCGCTAATCCCTAACGATTTAAAGAACCGAATGGCAACCAAAATGAACGACCGATTTCGTTTCGACGTGAGAACTTACCTTTGCTCCAACTCACATCAGCAGAAAAACGACCCAGAGCGTCACTGTCAAACGATGTATCGATACAGGGTACAGTACGAGAAGAAACGAACCATTTTCCTTTGATCTAATGTCAGAGGTGCCCGTCCGAGGCGAAAGTGGGCTCAGTTCTGCCAACATATTTGCTGTGAAAGTGACCCGACCCTGGGCCCCGTGACACAGAATCCAACAGCGATCAGAAAATTTCTCCGTCGCTCGCCTCAGCCGCTGCAACCACCGACGCACAGGGTCAGACCCTTAACTGACGTTTATACTGTTTATTTAACGACACTTCATCAACAACACAGTGCTCCTGGATGTCAGCACCACACATCAAACACTGCATGTGACCTGTAATCAAGAGGTACCCGGTTCGAATCTTTGTGTAATCTAGTAGAACTTTATCATCCTGATGACAGAGGCAGCGAGTAGTTCATCCGTGTTTCTCCGAAACGTCGATATCCACAGACAAGTCTGCACGGCGCCAAAACCTCAGACCTTAATATGCAGTCATAATTAAACATGATTAAGAACCTAGATCGTTCAAGAGTTTCCTATTCTAAGTCTCACAGGGGACAGTACAGCAATCAGCATTGTTAAATAAACAATTAACTAATACGTCTATGAACTCGTTATGCAGTTCAAACACACAAAAGATTACCTTCGCAGTTCGCGCCTCTCGAATGCAAGAAATTTGTCAAGAATTCTAGCGGCAAAGCCTACAGCTTATTCAGACGAGTGAGCGTGGCCTCATTTTGACGGAGGACTCGCTTGCTTCAAGCCCGAAGCTCGACTAAATGGTTTTTAAGATTCAGTCCGTACCGCGAAGAAAACACAACTCTTCACCATCACGAAGATTGCGTTGCAAATCAGCGCCACTCGCATTTGGAAGGCAAAGCTTCGTATTTTACTCGGTTATTCGGTTACAGTGCGCTCCGTTACCGGCAGATATCTCAACTCACAGCATCCGGATCTGTGGAGGGAGCCAGATGGCGATGACGTCACATGACTGACATCCAGAGATTCGTCATTACGACAGCAGACGAGTTCAACGGTCAGAACGCGCAGCGATGCTCTTTTGTTACAGACAAGTGCACTGACGATGAAGCCTGCGTCTAATTGCATACGAACAGATTGTGCCGTTCAAAGAGCGAATGAGAACAAAACGGACTTTTTTTTACAGACGCAGAAAATGCGGCAAGGTTCAGGCAGACTAACATGGCGGAACGCAGTTCGGAATATTTTGTCTCCTCGCCTACGACCAAAAGACGTGAATATTAAAACACAAAGAAAGTTTTCCCTGCTATTTTCTCGGGTGTGAAAGCTAATCTTTGTCAGGAACGGGACCTACGACAGATGAAGCGACAGGATTCTGGAGGGAGCTCCATTATTTGTAATCTTCATCACGTTGATCAAAAAATGGAGGTCGAGATGGGTGGGGCGTGTAGCACGCACGGGAGGGATAAGAAATGTCTGACAGCGAACGCGATAACCAACCTCGGGGTCCCTTATCAAGAACGAAGGACTTTCCTAGATGGCGTCGGTTTTACTCAGTGGTAAACAGGCTGGACCACGTGCTAAAATGTTCCGCGTGTTTAATCAGGGTCTCGAAAAGGGTCGGGTCCTTATCGACACGCCCAGTCGACTGGAGTCACTGTGCAGTGCAAACAGACGAAAGGCGCCGACAAAGGACACGAAGACGCTCAAACTGCGTACTTGCTTTGCTCAGCTGCTTTCAGGAATGGCTGTGAACCGCGCTTACGGTAATACCTCCAGAAACAGACAAGCATTTTATCTGCACCGACCCACTTTGCGTTAACTTCACAGCGAACAAAAGTGAAGGACTCATCCGCTGACATTCCAGAGGCGTACGCGACAAATCCCATTACCACACGAACTGAAAACAGTAATGGAGAAAGGTCTTTCATTAAACTCCAGATTCTTAACACGCTGTTGGTTATTTTACGGTTCACCGTCAACTTTCGGAGATTTTATGGGATGCCAGTCGCATATTTTAAGATAAAGACACCATCTGAATCATCATCTGGAAACAATGAGAAATCTCTCGGTCAGTAACAACGCGTGAAAACAGAGATGTCAGTGGGACGCACTGCCGCTGAGCAAATCTGCTTCAGGTCACCTTCATCCTCCGTCGTCTCGCCGCTGACGCTCCTATCCTATTCGTGCATTGAAGTCTCGGCCCTCGGAGTCCCAAATTACCCGCAACGACTGCGCCTGACCAAAGCCTCTCGACGCAGCAGAGCGAGAACTTTGTAGACAGCTGGTAAAGATTCATAAAATAAAGTAAGGAACTTTGTCACTCCACGTAAGTAGCCACGGGTTCAAACCCTGTAGCTCGCGGTTACAACTTGAGATGTGATTTAGGTAGGTGGACGGATATAAAGGGGAAGCCGATGGCTGGAGCACAAAGGAAGCGAAGTCTCTTGTCTTGGGCAACTGACAGACGACACTGAGAGGTTCTTGGAGAAGTTCACTCTTATTGTCCCTTGATGTAAGGCAGCGCGATGATTCGGCTGTCTGTCTTTATAAGTTAAATTTTTAGGTTCAAGTTGAACGTGTCTGCCCGATTCGAGAACAAAATTTTTCTAAATTTTGAATTGAATCGTTTCCCATGACGTCAGAAACGCCCCGAAAAGCCATTGGTCCGTCGCCCCACAGCAAAAACCATTCATTATCTTGAGAGGCTTAAGTTTTAAGAGTGCGAGAGCTTTGCGGAAGTCTTGTCGCCGCTAGACGGAATGTCTGGAAGGAACGATTTGACACGTTAAACAATGCCAAAGTTTACAAAATTAATTAAATTTGGATGAAGTAAGGCGCATGTGATTGCCACCTGATCACCAGATTAATGCGCCAAAGCCTGGTTTATATTTCCATCTCAAGGTTCAGCCCGTCCGGAAATCGAACTACGAACCTGGACTGGCACAGGGTGTCCCAAAACAGACTTACACAAATTCAATTAATTAAATAAAGACATTTCAATAAAGCAAACCATTTAAGAAGTCAGCATTGGCTATTATTGGATTAGAATATCTAGTGCTGATACTGATCTTTGATAAATGTTCGTGGTTCCCTCAGACTTGAAATAATGAAGTGTTTCAGGATCACTGTTACGTCGCTTTGTCGGGAAAAAAACCACCGTCGGGTGCGCGCACCACAGTCTGAAAACCTCTGCTACCAGAACACATTTTCGACGGAAGGCCAACGAGACACACCGGAAGTGTGGCTTGCTGATGCTGCGAATCGCAGAGACGCAGCGGGCGTTGCCTGCTGCATGGCCAGAGCAGCTCATTCTCCTCCTGTGTTGGAAGACAGTCACACCGACGTTTCGCAGGTGCTACGCCCCACGAGACAGCCATCTTCGCTTCGCATCCAAGACGTTCGATCCGGAGACACAGAGTGGACGGCCCCGACAGCCGGCCTCCCAAATCACAATCAACAGGAGAATTTTGAACATGCGGGGGCTGCTGAGGTAACGGGACAGACGACAGAGAGAGAGAGAGGGAGAGAGATAAAGCAAGGCGAAGCGGTCGCACAAATGCTTCTTGTTCGGGGTTCCTTCTAATAACGCCGGTCGGTCCGCCCGTCCACATATTTTATAGACGAGGTACAGTCCACCGGTGAATCTAACTCTCGGTGGTGTCTGTTCTGTCCCGCACGACGAGTACGCGAATCCCGAATTCACTGGCTTAAGACCTCAGAACGCACTGAGGTCTGCGAAATTTTGATTTCGTGAATCTTTAAAACTTTAAGGCCGAATGGGACGAAACTGTGCGCTTTAACAACCAGGAACTCCGCAGTTTATATTTGATCGTCACAATAACCGGCGATTATTTCCTTAAACGGCGTTAACCGGTTGATCGCTGCAATGGTGCAGTGCGGTGTTTTCTTCGCGGTACGGACTGGATTCTTAAATACTTTTTCAGGCGAAGTTTCGGGCTTCAAGGGGCCAACGAAATACAGAGGAAAATAAAATGTGCGCCAGCGTTTCCACATACTTGGAGTCGAGTCCTTCATATTCTGAAGAGCTTTCTCCTTTGCTAGGCCACGTCCATCGGCCCCGCTATCTACACCCTGGGTCCAGCCTTGATCTACTCTGAGATTTCAGGCTCCCTCAGCGGCGAACAATGAAGACGTGTAATCCGGTAGACGCCCCCTGAAACTTTGTTCAATTTCCGCTAAACTACGCGGCGCAACATCTCGTCTCGTCTCCTGTTCCTGCCCCGAGATCCGTGCATCGGAAGATCCTGTTGCCGGCTGCATTCCGCTAGATGGCCTCAAAACAGGTCACGACCACTTCCTTCCCCAATATTTTCAACTTCAGTTCGACGCCAAACAGCCCACGTAGATGGTACGGCCGACTCTCGTTCCACACGCGGGCGAGACACAACGCTCCCTGCGAGATGGCAGACTGCCGATTCTGACCTTATTTCACGACGAGGTTCCAAATGCAGCGGTTAAAAACACGATCCTGATGACTTGTGACAAAATTTAGTTGAAAAGGCAGCACCTGATACCGAGGGAAACCAAATTTATAGACGACGAGGGTTAAAGTTCACTCCGCTTATCTTCGAAAAGACTTTTCTGTCATTTCACGTGTCTCAATGGCCTTGATGCTCATTTGTCGCACAAACAAATCTGTTGTCTAGAACTTATCACACTGCACAGTCAGATATAATTTATCTATTTCATCATTTATGTGTTCATGTTTACTGATACTTGTATTTTGTCATTTACTAGTCGTATAAACAAATCTTACCGATCGAAAATCTGTGTTAAACATCAACCGATAAATCTATCTCAAATTCACAACAATAATAAATGTAGACCCCCAACACACGAAATTTAATCCACACCCGTTCGTTTCGCGGATTAAAGAATTGGAAATACGGACAATGAATAAAGAATTCGTAATAAAATGCAGGCTTTGCTGTTCCTTAAAGGCCACCCACCGCCTGACATGAAATCCTACAAATGCCAGTTGGTAGTAGGAAGTCCGTTAAAGCAACGACACGCAACGCGCAGACGCAGCAAGCAACGGGATTCGTCTCTACTTCCGAATGTTCCAGTCACCACCAATTAATTACGCGGATTAGATCGGACGGAATACAGTTGTTTTGTAAACAATGACGTAGCAGACTGCAATTGGCTTTATTATCAAAGAAACAGCTAAATACCGGCAAAGAAAACAACAATTATGCATCCGGCTTGTTTATTGCAAGCCAATATTTTGCTGGAATGTTTTATGTGGAGCTGAGCCTGAGCTACTGACAATCGACAAATAAACCATCTACTGTCAAGCCAGAACAGACTCACTCCCCCTGAAATGTCTGCCAAATTCTCGATGGAACAGAAACGATCAGTGTTCGTGAGAACTGAATACACAGCTTTGTCCTCAATATATTTGCAATTACTTATTAAAATACTCTGTCCCAAAACACGCCACTGAACAATGGATTCGAACCAGTGTCAGAAGGGTAGGAAGGAATGCGTTTCAAACTACAGGGCCCGAGGCAGAAATCAGCTTTTGGGGCCAGTACTGTAAACCTGGGTGGAATGCAGCGTTCCACATAAACGGGTCTGGGCTGCATGGCAACGGAATTCAAGCGAACACGCCTTCTAACCTCTCACAGTTAGCAGATAAGGAAACAGTTGGCGTATGTCACCAAGACTCACCTTCTTCCGGCGACAGATAAATATGATGACCGATAAGTCAATGGCACCTCCTACAGCTTAACAGAGATTCCAATCTGCAACTATCCATTCACAAAATACTGTTGTCAGCTCGATATACTCCAGGTACTCCAAGCACACAACCACACAGCACACTGTACACACTTCGATCACAGAATTCCAGCCCTCATTTGACCAAATTACGGGACCTGATTGTCAAAATAACGCCCTCAACGCGGAACAGCTATCAGCCAGCATCTACACGCCACAGCGTACTTCGCCTGTTTGGCCGCTTAGTTTTGAAATGCGCCGCGAACGGCGCTATCTGAGACGGAAGAATCGTGAAAGAGGAGAGAAATCTCGAGTGTGTTTAGTCAGTCACGGTTCCACAACAACATATTTCTCTTTTCTCTCGTTTCATTCCTCTTTTTTTTTTTACTTCGCCTCCAGAGCCTCGATCTAGCAGAGATCAGCAAAACTGTACTTGCACGGTTGCCATCTTTATAAACACTGACTAGAAAGAATGTCTTAATAAAATAAACAGCACATTCATCGGAACAAATGAAAGGAGTGGAATAAGACGGGGAGAAGATTTTGTGTCTGAGGGAGAATGCTCTGTAAATGGTTGTGGGATCATTGATAAACAAATGCTGTTTCCTGGGTAATTTCGAGAACGAAAATAGATCTATGCAAGCGGCACGTGGAAGGGGAATTTTCGTCCTTGTCTACGCAGTTGTGACCCTGTTTTACGTAGTTTACACTGAAATTTCTATCATGACCTGCATGCCACTCAAAGCGGCCAACAACTTTTTCCCGTCTGCACGGCTCCAGCTCGAGTCATTTTCGACCCATATTGCAGATTCGACATTGTTGTGATCGGAATCTATTGCGTTATGACTTTAGACTCGAGTTTATCTACGGAGGACTGGATTACATTTCCAAAAATAAATAAAAGACATCCCTCAAAAATTATTTTTAATGTTTTTAATAATGAACACAGGTTAATCATCGCAAAGGGAATTTTCAAACGTGGACACCATAACCTCGAAACAGACAAACTGTGTTACGTTGTGGCTAATGTGATCGGCGCGGTATCACATTTTAAAAGTTGAACTTTCGTTTGAAATCATTAGACATTGTTTCGATTACGCGTCGACTAGATCTTAAATAAATTTGGGGTAAACAATCACAAAATCCATTAACAGAAGTTTCGGTGGTTGGACGTGTCTGTCTGTATGGGCGGAATTAGGTTGAACTCGCTCTGATCAGGTAAGACTAAGAATGAACTCTCCTGACTCGTGTGAACATTATTACATCATCCAATGAAATCAAGCAAACTACGGAACAGCGGCTTGTACGTGGTGTAGCGAAGATCTGCAAGTTAATACAGCATATGCCACTAGACAGCGCTAGTCTCACGTCTTTGTGAAAACTATTTATAATATTAATAAGATTATTTGACAAATCGTTCTAGAATTTCCTTAAATGTTTACGGGTTCGTTTCCAGGAGCTTCCAAAACCGATTTTAATGGAAGAGACTTGTTTCTGGCTTGTTACCGAAACTGTGGCGAGGTCAACTTCTGCGCCGAAGGGTCTCACCACGATCTAGCCCGCGGGCAAAGCATTAGAAGAAACACGTGAAATTAGAAAGTATTAAGCCCGGACGGAGGCGTTTGCTTCTTTGTGCGAGATTCCGGTTCATGTGACATGTGGAATGGCGGATCAGCGGAAGACCCACGTTACTTGTCGTCCGGTTGTTTTGCGACGCACTATCAGCACTTACTCGCGGGATGACCTAACGCGGATTCCTCCTTCCCTCAGCGAAATGCGGAACCGGAAATAGAATTTTGAGGCCGGCACAGCCATCATAAAGGCTACTTAATCCATTTATAATATTTAAGTATACTTTCGCCTCACTATTTTTAATTCTGATTTCCCCGACAGAGCTAACAGACACACAATTCTCATTTTTGAAGTAATTAAATAGTAGTGTTAATTAGTTTATCCACTCCCAAATCATCCGACAATATTCGGACAGAAAAACGAGGTGGCACGCATTTCTCTTAAAGTTAGTTTTCAACCCAAATAAAATTTTATTAAACTCTACTTACGACGTAATGAATCGATCGGTAACAAATGAATGGCGAAACAGAAGACTGTGCGATTGTTCCAGGGGAACTCGATGGAGGTCACTGCGAGGCCTGAGGCGTAACCACATTCTCGCGACCGGGCGTTGATTGGTAACGGGATCATGAGGTGACGAGAGCCATGGCCGCTGCCTATCCGATCCACACCGTCGTAACTTTCCTTCAGAGGCTTGCAGACCACCGCCAAAAATTCGCTGTCTTATCAATGATTCGAAAGTCGCAGCTGAAGGACACGTGACTGCAACATGGCTGCCCGACTAAAGAACCGATTGAAATTACAGGAAATGTATTAGAACGGCAATGTCACGGAAATCGCCGACCTCTGACCTTTGTTAAATGCGAGGGCAGTTATTATACCGGAGAATGTGAGAGTCTGACAACTTTTCATTTGCTTTAGAACAGGAAAAGAACTTGGAATGTGGAAACTATGTAGGAATACGGACCAGGGTCACCTACATATTGCTCCCAGTTAACAGTAGCAGCGGTTGTCGTGAGTGCAAGACCACTTTCTAACAACCAAGATGGCTTAAAGCAAGTGGACGTGAAAATGTCAGAACGAATTCATGTAACTCACCAATGGCTTTCTTGATGCGTGAAAACGACGCCTCACGTCCACAACAACAAAGGAAACATGTGATGTCTGCACGGCGTAAAACAGCAATATAAGAACATCTCCTCCCCGTCACTGGACAGGGAGATGTAAAATTCTGTATGGCGATAATTTTTTAACACTTTCTGCTCATTCTGGGCGCAGGCGTCTGACGGCATTAACTTTCTAGAAAACCTGACAACTCTTGCACAGGCCAGCAGGTTCAAAGGTTAACAGGACAACCAGACGTTATTTATACTGAAAGGAGCAGTTGGTAAACCTGACGCATAAGTTTGACGTCGTTCAGGGGGCTCACAAAATGTTCTTGGGAATTTGAAAAACCTTTCCTGCAGAACCTGTGGATCTACGGGGAAGCGAAGTCTCACAAAAGTTAGGCAGGCAGTTCACTTTTAAGAAACACACAGGCAGAGTTCCGCATTTCAAGACAGAGGAAGTTCGTACGAGCATGGGCCCGGAAAACACTTAAATTCCTGAAAATCCTGGATGGGGCGTCGCACTTTAACTGCTTCCGGAGTTCAGGGCGACAGAGGAGGAAGGGGCAAAGCACCCAGAACAGCAGTGGCACTGCCACTTGTAATGTAGTTCATAACTCCTCAGTCCTCAGGGTAGAATATTATTAACCCATTCAATGACAATTTTAACAAAAATACAGTAAACATTGCTTAAATCAAGTCAATCCAAAACGGTCGAGCGATTACAAGGAACAACAGAGAAGCGTCACTCTGGGTGCGTAAATTGCAAACTCGCTTCATAAACCACTGACACGTGCGGTACGGGAAGTATAACGTACCGCTTAGCTTTCTAGTAGAATTCTGCAGTCCACTGGCAAAATCAACCGTGAATTTTGGCTCCGAGGTCCGAGGGTTCCTACTGTAGAGGCGTTACACAAAATATTAATTCAAAGATAACGGGAGCTGCTGGACAGGCAGCACGGCACGAATGACATTTGGCGGCTCAACCGAGCGGTCCTTTGTGGCAGACACGGGCGACTTCGCGTTGGAGTACCTTGCACTTTTATATGAAAGTTACAAAAAAAATTCAGAGGAAAACTTATTCCGGCTGAAGTTCTGAACGGAAACACTTCACAGTTTTGGCAGCACGGTGCAAGAACAAGGGGCACGTAACAGAAGATGAATCAGACGAGATCAGAGCTCCTCTCCAAAAAAAAACAAAAAAAAAAACAGGAGTAACAAAATTACCGCGTCCACAGTTCGAGCGAGAATCTGTTAAGGGTGGGAAATTCGTCTCAGAAAGCAGGCGACTAGGAAGAGGATGAGGCAGGCAACATGGCCGCCATACACCGTTGCAGTTGCATGTCACTCAACTCGCTAGAGCAGTACGTACAGAGACAGGCTGTCGATACACGAAACAGCCTCAGATATGTAGGGTAAGGCATTGGATCTCGTAACACACTACTTTTGAGGGCTGGGTTATTCGGCCCCACCTGTTTCGTAAACTGCAGATTCCCCCTCGACTTCAAAACTTCAGGATCCAGGGGCAAGGACCACGACGATCGAGAATTTCCCTGCCTTTAAGGGAGCCGACAGGTGGGCAGGTGTGATCCAGTCTACGCCCTCATGTCCTACCTTTCAAAGTTATCTCACCGAGCATTCTCCGCACTTCAGGACATCTGTCCAAAACTGCGATTGCACTTCCCACGTCTCCTCCGCGACATTTCTCTGAGTAAAAGATACGAAGCCTCTGATTTAGTAATTTTCTCCGCCTCTACCTCCCCTTCCTTTGGGACCGCCCGTCTGCGTAGCGTTCCGAACTTCCACACTGTGACAACTTTGAAACGCGAGACAAATGGAAAATAATGGGATAAGAACGTAAATGAGCTCCTTGATGATGGTTAGGTTATGGTTGTAACAGATACATCACTGCACTGTGTACGCTGAAACGCAATTTACCAGATGGTTCAGTCCCTCAGAAACCCAAAATACATTACGCAAATAGCAAGTTCCTTCCGCCTTAACTGCACGCCCCGCTACCCCAGCGATCTTGATTTCGTCTCCCCGTCTGGGACGGAATACAGGCTAGCAAGCAAAACCACGTGGAAGTCAAAACCATTTTATTATTTTGCATGTTTAAAATGGCTTCCTGTCGATAAGTTACAGTCTTTTGCCTCGAATCATAAGACAGCAAGGCGAGTGATACACTTGCGGAGCCCTCTTACGCTTGGCACGTCGCAGAATACTGTTACAACACCCACACTGGTGTGGAATGGTCTGGCACGGGTAGGAACTATATCAGCGCATGCCTCTGCGCAGTCTACGTTCACTGCGACGTCAACACTGAGTCGTCTTCATGTCCGCCGAATTGGCGCCGCTCGTCCCATTCCCCTGCTGCCCGATCACCCAGCCGTTGGCGGCGGTGGGAGACGTGGCCGCGCTCCCGTTGCCGATCTTGCCGTTCGGAGGAATGCCTGCGCTGATCCTGGTGCTCGGGACAGACATGACGCGGTAGTGCGGCTGAAAGCACGCCTCCACATCCATCTCTGGACCTTCTTCGTCGTCGTCCGATCCGTCGCCCAAGGAGAAGTCCTCGACGTCTCGCGTGACTCTCAGGGGCGTGGACGGATCGTCCGTCATCTCTGGGCGAAGAGGGCCGCACAGTTCGCGACCCTCCTCGCTGTGGTAAAATGAAACTTTGGTAAAATCTGGGGACACGTCTGGCAGGAGAAGAGCCACCAAATCCACGAATGGCGGGCGAGCCATCGGTTTGTGCTGCCAACACAACCGCATCAGCTGGTACAGGCGGTCGGGGCAATTTTCCGGCCGTTCCATCACGCCCCCATCTATTACGTACCGCAGCACCTGGTCATTGGACAGCCCCTGCAACATACAGCATCAAACTTTATCCTAGGGTTGGTTGCAGAAACTCTTTAACCAATCTGTTCTCAACGGACACCCAGCATCTCGCGGGTTTTAACAATGAGGAAGTGCAGTTACCCAGCTGTTCTTCCTGCTTTACGTAACCCAAAGGCTTGCGACAGCCCACGACAGACACAATTCACACCCGATACATATTTTGAATCTCAAACCACCGAGCACATCGACAGACCGCAAAACAAAACTGTGTCTACATGCTAATTAAATTCTCTTATTCCACACAGAAAGACCTCACGTGAAATACAATGTCGTCCATAATAATCTTCGTGGTACTCCGTACAAACCCAAATCCCCTAGAGGAAGTTCTTCGTGCTTTTAGTTTCATGAACAAATCTAGCGAGCCAAGAATTTCGGCATCAACGGTGCATCTGGACCTGAAAAGTACCTGATAGGGCTGCGAGGCCAGGGTCGCCATCTCCCAGAGGACAACACCGTAACTCCACACGTCGGAGTGGCTCGTGAACACGCCATCCTTGAGGCTTTCCGGTGCCATCCAGCGGACCGGCAGCAGACCCTTGGTGCCTGCAACGCATCACTACATACAGCACCCAGCACAAAACGGAGAAGCGGAATGAAGTAAACAAGCAGAGGAGGGAGGAGATGAAGGTGATGATGCTGGTTGTGGGACAGAATCTTGCCTTGGACCTATGGGAACGTGCACCAGCGACGTCAGGGATGTTTACATTACTGTCCGATTTTAACAAAAAATTGAATGTTTTCACAACCTTTACAAAAAGTCCACGATATAGAATTTCAGGAAAATCCATTCAGTCGTAAGCAAACGGTTATGAGGAACAGCCCATGAGCGAAACTCATTTGTGAATGCGCCTTAAAGCGGGGACTGGAGGAACGGCAGGGGCCGACATCCTTACCCTTGCGGTAGTAGTCCGTCTCATATATATCGCGAGTCATGCCAAAGTCTCCGATCTTGACGGTGAGATCCTCGGCCACCATGCAATTGCGGGCTGCCAAGTCACGGTGCACAAATTTCTTCCCGGCCAGGTAGGCCATGCCGTCGGCGATCTCCACCGCCATCTGCAGGATCCGCTGTAATTTACGTAAATGCACTTTCAGACGCGGACATGGTCGTCACAAACTGCTATGAATCGGTATTTATGAAAACCCTTTTAATATTAATTCATTGAAGATCCACTGCAACATATTTGTGTTTACGAATGTAAGTAAAATTATTTCTTTCTGATCCGCAGGAAAGAAGACGGAATCAGTTCATCAGAAACAAACAAAGAATGACGAGCCACGAAGCTCACAATACGTGCCTTCAGGGTTGGGGGTTGTTTGCTGAGGTCTTCACTCACGTCTGGGCGGTGAGAACGGAGGTATGACTTGAGGTCCCCATTTGCCATAAGTTCCATGACTACCAACACTGGTTGACCCTGCGATACCACGCCCAGGAGACGTACAACATGGTGCGTGTTGAAGGCTCTGCAAGTCAACACGGATTACGTTCATCACTGAAACCTATTCCAATCCAGTTCAAATATCCACAACCAATTTCCCAAACTATAATATTTAACCCACTCAATGTGAGATTTCTAATGACACGGCTTACAGTGTCACAAGGCGTTAAATATCATCGTTGATCGCTCACTCACTTCATAACGGAGGCCTCGTTGAGGAACTCGCTGCGTTCCCGGTCTGTTGCATGCTCATTCACGGTCTTGATAGCGCACTGCATCTCTGGATGACCTTCCACTACGTCCCGTACGATGCCCTCGTACACCATCCCAAAACTGCCCTGCCCCAGCTCACGGAGCAGCTCCACCATCTTCCGTGGCACCTCCCACTCATCAGGCTCGTACACTACGCAACAGACACACAGAGTCATCTGTCCTGTCCCTCAGATTCACCGACTGTGTTTAATTTAAAAGGGCCTAGCGAAATACTCGCACCTGAGGCGGAGGAGGCCGTCAGATAACATGGGAATCTTGAGACTGCGTAGGCCATGGGACACGGGGCTAAGACGTACGTACAAACGTTCGGTCGGAGAATCAAACGAGATGACTCAAGAGATCAAAGCACAGATGAAGCAGCATTAAGTTAATTACAGATGACCGGACTGTAACGGCACATGACGGGGTCTAACGCAGACGAATCTAGTCGCAACAACGAACTCTTCCTTGTGGAGCTTTGTGGTCACTCAGCTGGTCAAGATACGACCTTCCACCTCGAGTCAGACAAGCCCTGTACAAGACTTCACACTCTGTTCCACTTAATATTATCTTCCTGCTCATTCCATTCTCCCATGCGTTCTCTTTCTTAAGCACTTCCGAGCAAAATCTGAATGAAACCTTAAACATCCAAAAAGCCGGATGTTCTACGTTCCAAGAACATTTGGCCGGCAGACACTCACCCGTACTGACGTACTCTGGGTTGACAGTAGCGATCAGCTTCACATTCGGGATTCCTGGAATGTATCTGCGGCGTAGATACACGACCACGACGCACAACACGGCCGCCAGTATCGCGATGCCCACCAGAGCACCTACCAACCACTCCATTTTTGATGACGACTGATGCTACGGAACAGACACGGAAGGGAAGTGAGTGTGACGACGCCCAACAGAGTCAACTCGTTAACGTGCGCCTCGCCGCACTAACCTTTATGTAGAAGTAGCGTGGTTCCGTGTAATCCCCGTACCCTGCAAGGGACATGGCACGCACCCTCAGGCTGTAGTTGCCAGGCTGCAGTTTATGCAGTTTGTAAGAACTTCCGTTGTTGAGGAACTGGCTGCGTGTGATGCACTCCACCATGGGGCTGTACTGCAGAAACACGTAACATTCGTCATTACATACCGACATGGGACTAGAAGCTTCGGAGGTCGCTTTAATTACTCACACCCACACCGAGATGGAAAGAGAGATCAGGGGCTGCGATCAATCACTTACCTACTTAAAATAGGCAACGCACAAAATACTTCCGCATCTTCAGTCCCGCATAAATATTAAAGACTACGAATAATTGCGTCCTTCCACCACAGAGACGGGTTCTGCTACGAAGCTACCTGGACGGTCAGGTAACGGAGAACGAACGCAAACAGTAATGCCGTGGGAAACGACACCATTCATTGAGCAGAATGTGTTGCTACACAAACTCACCATTTTATTTATTAGGCAGACGTTTCAGAACTCTCGCAGGTCAAGCAACCCCACCAGCCACTCTAGGAACGCCTCAAAGTACGTTAGCCAATTAAAATCAAGCACAAACTAATTTCTGCACACATATGAGGTAGGCAACCTTATCTGCGCTGCCGACTGTGTAGTCCTTGTAGGTGCCATTACTGGGAACGGAACCTCGATTACCCGATCTACTTTACTGTCCGAGCTACAGATATCAACTCACATTGGGGTTTTCGACACTCTTGTACTCGATCTGGTATGTGACGATGATGCCGTTTGGAGATGGCGGCTCCTCCCACCTTAGTTTCACTGTGCCGAGGCTCTCGTTCAACACCTCTACCACGAGTTTTGAGCTGTCGACATTATCTGCGCCAACTGAAACATCACGAAAAGTCGGTGTAACCGTACCACGATTCCAGATGGTAAAGGAACAAATGTCTCATGACTTTTATGTGTGTGTCGTGCGTACTTCATCAACTTCACTGGTGAGATGAAGTGACAAAACAACTCACAAGTTCCAGTTTAATCCAATTACGTTTACAAATAATAAAAAGTATAGCCTAAACAGCCCTGGAAATTTGAAACTGCCACTAGAATAGTCCACTCGTGCACGCCTCACAACGCCGATGAAAACAAGGAAACGGAGAGTCGTCTCACATCCATTCGAAAATCCGCTCGGCGGCGGCTAAGAGCCTTACCAAGTGACAAAGTGCGGCCTGTCTTGAAGCTTTTGCGTGAGCAGTTCAGCGTTGTGTTGCTGGGCTCCTCTGCAACAATCTCACGACAGGCTTCAACTGAAATAGTGTACTGCGTGTAGTGGGACAGGTTCCGGACCACTATTTCCGTCTTCCCATACACGACGTGTCTGAAGTTGTACTCTGCTTGGATGGATGCAGCAGCAGGTTCATGGGAGCTCATGTCCGCGTTCTCTTCAGTTGTATCTGGGTACCTGCAGTCACAAATTTTCTATCTAACCATAATTATTTTTTTAAAAAATGCAACAAATAAGAAGCATCAGCTCCAGTTTCACTTGACATGGCGCAACATTTAGTTGAATACAAGACGAAAGCAGTTTATGTATTTATGCAGTGCTATTTAAATAATTTTGTATAAAATTTTACAAACAGAATTTTTTACGTAACTGCAGAGATGAAAAGTTTTGCATCATGCGATTTGCATCTCAAATGAATGCCCAAATTTTGAAGCGCACACTTGCTCATTACTCTTTCTCCTTTCTTTGGACTGAATTCAGTTGCATCGTTTACCCAACACTCGAAGGTAACTCCTTACGCAAATACCCGGCAGCTGACACAAAATTTAAGTCACTGAACACCGGTCGACGTCCATCCACACGTAACACCGACACTAACGTGGAAGCCCTTAAAGTGTACGTGGTAACTTGTGTACCTGTGAGGTGTAGTCTGGTAGTCTGGGTCTCCAAACTCCGAAGGCTCCACGAGTCGTGGCGACACCATGCTACGCACCCCCAGTGTCGTATCTCGCCACTCGGCTGCGATGTCACGCTTCCGACGGCTCTGACTCGGCCTGCGACAGTTGTTACACTTTCTCATTCCGCAGATCATTTAAACAAAACCTTCAGTCTCTTTCCAACTTCAAATTGTCAAATGTGTGTTCGGACTTCTTCCTTTCCCGTCATTATTTCCAGGCGAGGAAGAAAACGTAACACGGCCTCCTGGCTCGAGACACGTGATTCACCATTCATCACGCGATCTTCTGCGTACTGCACCGTGCCAATGGCAAATGTTACTGACTTGCTACCCATTACCCATTTGAAGAGTACGTATCAAGGCCCCAGTAACATTTTCCCCGATGGCACAACACGCAGAACACCAACTTACCGCTTGATGTACAGCAGGTTATGGAGCGAATCCTCAAAGTGGATCTGTGCCGCAACCTCTCTCTCCTTCAGCTTTGTTTCCTTGTTACTTTTATCATCCTCGCACATACACGCATCAGCATCCTTCCTCTCTGTTCCATCCATTTCTGTGGGGGGCGTTGGTTTCTTATCTGGTATCAGTGCTGCCAACACAATCAACAGCCATCACTTATGAAAGAAAAATTCACATCAACTGGGGATTGCAAACGTAAAGCCGCCCCGGTGACCACGCGCCAAGGTCGACGTGAAGTTACGCGGCTTTGTGATCGGTCCTGTTGCCTTACGCACGAAAGATGAAAGTTGTACACTCTGTACGAAACAGTCTGGACACAGCGGATCCATACATCTCAACATGCACAAATCATCAGCTTTTTAATGACACTGAGTCAACTGCAGTGTTTATGTAGCACTGACGAAGAGTAAGAAGATGGTTATAAAAAGTGGTCCATAAAGATTGCAGGTAAAATGGTCGATTTTAATGCAGAATTAAAAGAAACTGACGTCACAAAACAGCCAAGATAACCGGCTACTTACGCTCATTGCAATAATTGCGCTGGTCCAGCATGCTCTGATCATCTTTGATCCAGGTGCCAATGACTACGTAGTGCGTCACATTGCCGTTTGGCTCCAGCGGCGATAGCCATTTGATGGTCAGCTCACTGCTTGTGGCTGTAGTCACGTCCAGCGCTACCGGAGGAGATGGGGCTGCAAGGGACGTATTCATGATGAACGTCTAGGTTCTTTATCGAACGTGAAATAAAGTGTTACGTAAAGTAAAATGCTACTCACAAGCAGGCAACGTGCGGAAGTACTGGATGGGGCTCTGAGCACCGCTGCGCTCCGTCGCGATGGTGTATGTTTTGACGTAGAACGCGTACTGCGTGTACGGCTTCAAGTGAGTTAGAATGGCGATATTTGCATTGACTGGCATGTCCTCCACGTGCCAGCCATCACCACCGCACGCGTCCCGTCCATCATACAAGGTCAGGTTGCGGTAAGGTGCCTCTATGAAGTACACGACGTAACCGAGCAAAGTGCGTGGGTCGTAGTGCTCGAACTGTTCCCACTCGATCAGCACCGCGTAGTACTCCGACTTGGTCACCCGGGCATGAAGCATAGTCACATTGCCTGCAACACATAATGCAGAGGTCGGCGATCGTTCCTGTAGCTCTCGGAAGCCCGAAGCTGGAAAGAACTTCGCACAGAAACTCATGACCACTAAACTAATCGATACACCCGAACAATTTCCAAACTAGAGCAGGAAATATCAGTGATATTTTACACAATCAGCACCAAAATTCCCAAGAACAGAGAACATAAACATCGTTTATCCGCTAAAAATCGCGCTCCTCCAACAACACATATTTCTGATGTGACCTTAAGGAAAGACTGCAAATGCACACTTACGTGCCCCTTCTAGTCGACATCTTCCGAGTTCAACACGTCAACGCTACCTCATATAACGTGAATGGTTACAACCACGTAACAAAACTTTCAAACTAAACTTTCAAACCTGATCAAACATTTAGCGTTCACAGTCACGAATAAAGAACTGACTTAACTTTATATTTTAAATCACCAGATCAATCATTTGTCACCAACTGCTCAGTATCAGTAAATAACTCACTCACACTACCACCATTAATGATCATCATTCAAAATCATCTCTGAATCGCTCAATAAAGTGAACATGACGTATGGAGACAGGGAGGCATGGGTCAACGCATTCATGACCTTGGCACTAGAAGGAAAACGGTGGCCAGTTTCACGATAAGGACTCTACCCTCGGGAGGAGGCACCAGGATCGATGCAGAGAAGGTGTGGACACGGCAGCCCCTAGCCTGTCACTTCACGGACAAAATTATTGCGGCTCGTACAAAACATTCGATACCATCACCAACAGAAGTCAAGGTCGTAGAGAGTGTCTGCCGTTATCGCACTTACATGCAACCTTATCCCCATTGGAGTTCGCTGCGACTTCCAGGTCAGTAAAGTCCGGCAGGCGGGCCACGTGTTTCAACTTTTCTATCTTGTACAGGCAGAGCTTTGGGTTGAAGTGGAAGAACAGGCGGCCATTCAGGATCTGCAGGTCCTCTGAGCGCGTGTTCCAGTCCCACAGCTCCTGCAGGTTTTGGTTGTCCAGCAGAACGAATGAGTACCTGCGCGCACAACACACACACACGAGATCATGAAGACATCAGAGCACCCGCACAACGGGATCCCCCCAGCGCCTCAATTAGTACGTACTTGCCACTGTCCAGCTTCTTGCCATGGATAACCTTCAGCTTGCGTAAAAAGTTGAGTGAGACGAGGGGGAAGGACCGCACTATCTTGAGGTAACCCTCAATCTCTTCCAGCATGTTCAGGTTTTCCTCCAGCTCCTTAACAACGTTCTCTGCAACACATTCGCAACACGATGAAACCACTTCAGATACAAACGGAGATTTACGACCCCCCCCCATCCTTTAAAAACTATTAATTCAGCCATTTTTTCATTACATTTTCAACATCACTGTTTCAACTGTAGAGAATATGCAGCATGCCGCATCTGCGACAAGTTGGGGAGACAACAAACACACCGAAAATGTTGTTTTGAGGACGTGAAGGAAATCAACAAGCGCACAGTGAGATATCAAAATGAAGGCATGTTAGGATGACAGCCAATGGATTGATTTTGTAAAGGTGGTGAAGAACCTTCGGATTTCTTCACCAGCAAAGCAAATGTCAAAGACCAAGTCTCCAAGATGTTGATTTTTAACTCGGATTTTACGCAGCTATCGCCCGAGAGGATTTTATAGCAGCCTGTACCATGATTATCATCATTATTGACGTTACATGAAATATGAAGCACTGGCGAATGACGGCTGGTAAGGGGAAACGGAAGTGCCTACAGAAAGATCTGCCCGGCGCTACTTTCGTCCGCAAGCCACACAGCAAATAGCCCGGAATTAAATCCAGAAGAATGAAAAGAAAATAACTTGATCTCAGCTACGGCGCTGCATAACACTGAATAGTGACTGTACGACTAACTGGACCAGCCTCGGCAGTCCGTTACTCACTTCCGCCACGGATCTGAATCTCGAGTGAACCTTTGATATACGTGCAGCCTCGCATCTTCTGGGCAGCTGCAATGCTGTCCACACTAACGCTCGGGCACTCCTTACGACACGGTCCTGCCAACACCCACAGCAAACAGGCCTTAGGATGGATCATAAATCACATTTCGCTAAACTGATTCCAAATAATGACATAAGAAAGCTGTCCGGTGCTCTAAAACAAGAACAAATCATCACAGCATCTGCTGTTACAAACTGCGACACACCGCATCACTCACCCTCGCAGGGGGTGCAGTTGTACTTATTCGGTCCATACTCAGTCTCCACATATCCAGCAGGACAGTCCAGGACACACGAGCTACCGAACGGTTTGTACGGCTTCAGTCGGAGGTCATAGTTACGTTCACGAGGCCTGGTCATGTTCCAACACTCATCTGCACGGATGCAGCGTCGGTTTAGATACTGAAAGAGAACGAGTACCACAAATGGAGTGGCCTGACCCAGAGCAAAGCAGAAGCACAAATTTTTCAGACAGGGTTCGGGATAGGATCACGCGGCCCACGCTTTTGGGATCGATAATGAACCAGCGATTCCATAAAAGGTGGGGAATTTCCTCAGCCTATCAAGGAGCACTCTGCAACATGGAGGTAGAAATACTTCTTACATGATCCTCAAAAATAAAAATTAAACACCATAATTTTGAGGCATTACCAATGGTAAGTGTGCGTTGTGGTCGGCTGCCACAGTAATATCCTCCTACAAATCTCATCGGAACCTGAACTCTTCATCTTTCTAAATTCAAGAATTTCCCAATCTGCCGCTTGTCTCACCTTGTACGTTTCAGCTGGGCACTGCTTAACGCACCTCTTCCCAAACACGACGTCACGACACGCCAGACACTCCTCCGGCCCAGGTCCCGTGCAGCCGCCCAAACAGAACTCGTGACAGCACCGTCCATCCGACATGCAGCTGCTGTTGCCACAACTGTCAGGGCACACTGTAAGACGGCACTAAACATTAAGCACTGTAGACATCTACTGCAAGGGATGCAAAACTGTCCCTAAACGCCACGCAACAGAATTTGGCGCTACACTGAGAAGAGCTCCATCTACTTCAACCTTGGGGAAACAGCCCCTGGTAACTTTTGGGCAGAAAGCTGGGCGGGTCCAAGAGCCAGAACATTCTGATGGTCACGCGGGAGGCACGAGGGTGTTTGCGACAGTCCTCTTCAATACAGATCACGGGGGCGGTCTTGCCACTACGCGTTTCGACCGTTTAACCTCAGACACATACGATCTTACCTCAGTTACTGCGCAATTATGACACATGAAGTGTCGAGGTTTGCAGACCAACCGCTCAACCGACAGTCACTTCAATTTCCACGAGAATAATTCGCCTTTCTACTCTCCTCCTGACATTCACCGCGATTCAAAATGAGAAGAATGTGCAATGGAAGTCTGAAACTCACCTCTCTGGCATTTCTGGTGGTTCCAGCACAGGGATCCTTTGGTGCTCGAGTTGTGGCATATCAGCTTTTCATGAGGGCACATCGGGCATTCGTTCTGGACTCTGTTACCCTAGAAAAATCGCCTCAATGTAAGCTGAACATCAATGCAAGACATTTTATGGAACTGTTACCCACGACTCACGTCGACCGGAACAGCGGTTATTCGAAAACACTGAACTGATCATCTGTAACAAGCGGCAGTTACAGTTCTAAGTGGTTCTCGTTCATGGATTCATTTTGAACAAAAACACAACAACCGAGACAAACAGATCATTGCAGGAAGCTCAGAATTTCAAACCGTCTTGACTACACACCGAAATGGAAGTATGTCCGGCCTTGGCAATAAGGTCCCAGCTCACGGTATCCACGAAGCAGAGGAGTGGGTTCTTCTCTATACGCACACCACCACGCAAGATGTCCGTCAGCGAGTACAAACCCAGTTCCTGCAACATCACAAGTCCACCACATTAAAAAAGCTGCCTATACACCCATCTGGGTCCACTGCAAACTTTCGACACAACGAGAGAGTGTGTGAGAAAGAATGGAAAGTAGGAACAGGAGAGGAAAGTGGGGGAGGAGGAAGGGGAGGAGGAGGAAGAGGAGGAGGAGGAGGAAGAGGAGGAGGAGGAAGAAGAGGAGGAGGAGGAAGGAGGAGGAGGAAGAGGAAGGAGGAGAAAGAGGAAGGAGGAGAAAGAGGAGGAGGGAGAAAGAGGAGGAGAAAGAGGAGGAGGAAGAGGAAGAGGATGACAGAAATGGAAAAGGCGCAAACAAGCAAAATTAAACAAACATAAATGTGAAGACAGAAAGGACTTCTCGTGGCCCTCAGATCGCACGTACCTGCAGGTGGATCATCTCGAAGACGACGAGGGCGTAGTTGAGGAACAGCGTCTCGCCGCGGATGACCGTCAGGTTCGGGAAGAGCTTCCCGATCGAGCGGAGGCCGTTGATGCGGTACAACAGCAGGTAGTGAGTGATCTCGCGCAGCTCGGGGAACGACAGGTTCGCGAAGCTGTTCTCCGTTGCGTGGTCTATGAGCACGATCTGCACGAAGCCCTCCACCACCCGACACCCGGACAGGCGCTTGAACGCCTCCGCGGTATTCCGGATGTCCACACTCTGGCACACTGCAACACACAGGCAGCCCTGCTCGTGAGCACCAGAACGCCGGCGCAACCTGCTTCGACGACCAAAAATTATTTCCTCAAACAGCGTTAACCAGTTAATGGAATTAAAGGCGAAGTGTTTTGTTTTCTTTGCGGTACGGACCGAATTCTTAAATGCTATTTACACGAGCTTCGGTCAGAAGCGATCCGCCCAGACAATCAGCAATTTTCAAGTGCTCCAGGGGAATTTTTTTTTTTAAAATCAGAGAAAAAAGTTATTTTGAAATTGTTGCTCGGTCTACGCAGTGTTCAAAGACGCAACAGAACGACTTCGCTGTACCAATTACCAGAACCCCAGCCCCCGCGGTTGGCCAAGGGTCGCAGTACTCCAGATTCAGTCGTGATTCGTTACGTCCAAAAATTTTCTGAGGCGTTCTCAAAACTGGATGCGTCACAATATTGAGGGGGAAATGAAACTATAATTACTCCAAAATTGGTCGCAAATTAAAAGTTTCGCCGGTCACCAACCGGAAACTAAGGACGCCGCCTGCTTTAACGTTCACTGCGAAAGTACTTATCGGTCTAACGATTTCGATTAAACTTCCGCCTTTGAAAAGATACAACTCCGAACTATATTTCTTCAATCTTTCACTAAACTTCGTGATCACGCAATGACAGCAATCCAACATGGCGGCAGCTCGGCGCGTGGAGAGTATCGATCTATCGTCCGCTCGACCCATTGACCTGAGTAGAAAAGTCCTGGACCACGGGAGAACAGGTCCGTCCGTCCGTCCGTCCGTCCGGGGATAAGGAGCCTGTTTTCAAAAAGAAAGTATCCGGTTCGAGACCAGATGCAGGTGGGATTGAATACGGATCTTAAAAAAATCGACTCCTTTATGCCAAATTTTGTTTACATTAATTCAGCACTGAAATTACAACCCTCAACTTTACAAGAGTCGCAGTGCTACGTTAAGCCACAACCCTCGATATATATCGAATTAGTTCACGCGGTGATACATATCGAAAGATCGACTGAGCTCGCCCCATGTTCGAGGAGGGCACAGGACGACGTGCGCGTCTCGGGGTTTGATCGGCAGGCACAAGAAACCTTAAGGAGCATCGAGTTACGGAGTTCTCTGGAAAGGAAAAACCATCCCGAAGACGTGTATCTGTTTCGGCGAGGCGTTAAGTCGGAAAAGTTCGTCATCCCGGGGGCCACAACTAACTTAATGTTTGGAACTAGGATTTCATCCGTGGTTCAGACTCGATCGGCAGGGCCTCGTTCTTCTTCTTTAATTGTGCACCGAACAATCCCTTGCACCTGACAAGGCGGGAGATTCCGATGCGGCAGGGACGAAGCCAGCCAGAAACCCCACGAATTCGTCCAAGTCCGATGACCAATCTACTTCAACACGGCCGGCCTTCCCCTTGTCGGCTGTCAGTGTCACTTCATGAACAGTCACTTGGGAGCGACGCTGTCTGGGACGCCCTAATTAAACAAACGCACCACGACGCGGCTGTGTCCGTCCGCGTCTCTCACTCGAACGCAATTCCATCCAACACGCTCGATGCGCTTCGCGGGAGATGACACATTCCGTCGACTTCCTGAAAAACGGATGGTCAGGCGAGAAAATTAAAACCAAAAGTTCGATTCGGTGAATATTTTACGAAGTACGGACTCGCGAGAGAAACTCATTTGAAAAAGAAAAGAAAAACTCTTCTAAGACTTTTTCCGAAAGACGATCCAAGACTCACAACAAACTACGTCACGTCGCGCATTCCGACAAACTCGTGGTTTTCCTCACACATGTTAGAGACATGGACGCTGAACACTGCCATTTCGGGACAGCGTCCTGACGCCTGACGTCACGCACCGGGCTGCGACGGCAGTGACGTCACGATCACGCCGAACGATCCGCGGCCAGACACATCCACCCCCTCGACTCAGGGCCCGAGCTACGTGCCCAGCCCATCGCAGCCCCAGCCAAGGAGCTCCTCTTCGGGCGAAGTCTCCGGAGACGCATTCCCTGGAGCGGTCTCAGGTCGAAACTTTATCGGGGAGAACCGGTCGACAACGACGCAGAAATAGTCGCTCGGACATGGCGACTTCACGCAGTAATCACCAGACTTAAATAGAAGCACGGACCAAGCAGCGAATCATCGGCTAGTCCACGTCGGGGAACGTCACAAGTCACAAGAGGAACTCTTCCCACCCGATGACATCAACGACCTCACCTCTGCGGCTTAACAGAGCGTCGACATGACGTCACACACTGAGGAAAATCACGTGAAAAGCGCGAACTCACTAGCGGATGACATCTGCTTCCGGAACGAACTGGAAACGAATGCGCCTTCGTAAAAGGACAACGCAACAGATCAAATGAGCGTCGTCGCGTTTACACACACATAAGCGCCTGGAAACGTCTGGGGCCGCCCTCCACTAGTAGCACAGGTCAGTACATGAAGCACAACGGCGATAACACACCTTGAAAGACAACATTTCTTATCACTAAACCAAGTGCGAAGTTCACGACTGACGATCACTGTATCTGGCATCAGATAAAGCGGATCGGCCAACGCGTTCAGCAGAATTCACAAGTGCAAGGTTGATTTCTGGGCGCGGGAACGTCTTTTAACAAACAGCCGACGAATGACAACCCGAATCTGAGAACGGACTCGGTCAGCAAACCCTCGTTTGTAGAAAAGGAGGTGCATCCGGTAGTTTTTCCGCGATCGTGGCCTGAATTCAAGAACGTCCGGAGGAAAAACATGACGACGACTCCCAACGCATCAGTCCCCGTTCCGAGACCAGCGAGACTCGAACGGAGCTCCTTTGTTCCGGCTGGCTCGCGGAATGACGCACTTCTGTCAGTCAGTTGTTTACACGTAACCTTGCTCGACGCAACCTTCGCATTTCGCGTGGACTGAGACACTGACGGCTGCGGATCGGACAGGAGGCGACGGGTCAGTCTGTTCACCTGGAAACAATAGCGGAAACCGAAAACAAGATGGAAGACGCGGCCGAG